AAAGTAAAAGAAACAAGTTTGCATTTTTTGTTCAAATTGTAGACTTAAATGACTGGAATTTGATTTGATCAAGAAATGTTGTAATACACAGTTTGTTTTATAAATAAATAAATTGGAAAACAAAACCAGTCATCAAGATGTTCCTCTCATTAGATCAGTTTTGTCTAACTCAAACTTGTCCAAAGTTACAACTTCAGATAAAGTATACTTGGACAATGAATTCCTTTCATATTCATATATTTAAAAGAATATTTATTCCTTTTATCTTTACTTGTTGCTAAATATTACATTTTGAGTATTTTTGGAAGATAAAGTTACTTGATTCATAAAAACTATAAATTTTCATAGTATAGATAAGATAAGATGTTTCAAATCTAGTTTATTATTATATTATTTTCTTTAATGATTTAGAATGTACTGTTCGTTTTATGTTCAACAGTTTATTTACATGTGCTGTTACTTAAGCTTTCTCCTATTTTGACATATTAAAAAGTTGCATTTTTGTCTTAATGTAATAAAAATATTTTTATTCAGCATTCACCATCAGTGCATGCTGAATGTCGACATTTGCTGATGTGAGAAATAATATTTAGTAAATATTTCGTACATACACGAAACGACTGTGTGAATGCTGACGTTCACCGAAGAATGTTGACATTCGCCAGATATAGGTCATTCACAGTAACATATGTAGTAATTTACATTAATAATATAAGTGTGCTAAATATGGAATGAATGAATTTAATTAATATACACAAATTACTCAAATTGGACATTTGTTGTTATAGCTCCTGTCTTATTTTTAAGTTACAATTAAAATATTTTCATCACAGATAATTTGGAATTCTATCTAAATATATAAAATTACATGACCTGAGTAACTGATTGATTCTTAACTTTCATCATCGCCCAGAGCAAACCGTTGAACCTAAAGAGGTAAAATTTGGTAAACAGTACGTCATGAAAGTGCAACTAAGAAGGGATTTTTTGAAATTCCCCAGCAGGGGAGAGGATTAAGGCTTAAAAAGTCTTAGTCCCAAAAGGCAGTACCACAAACGTGGTTTACAAAGAGGTACTGGGGTAACTGAAATTATTTTTCGGTAAATATTTATAGTTTAGGAATTTTCAGATAACGTCATTTATGTTTCGAAAAAAAAATCGAACTCAGATTTATCGTATCTCGGAATCCCATAATATTTGAAACTTGAATTTAGGCGCATTAGCAGTCCATAGTTTGAAACAAACAAAAATCAGTAATTTTACCAAATTAGTAATAACTAGTGTTGTAACGAATAGTATATTCGGCCTCAGGCCGAATATACTATTCGTTACAACACTAGTAGGCCGAATATTCGGCCAAACTATTCGGCTTGATTAACGCACGTACGAAAATTGGCGCGCAAACCGCATTATGGCAAGGATCCTGCTCTCTGTTNGGAAAATTCATCAGAAATAGTTGCATGCAAAAATTTCAAAAACATTTCTGAGAAATACATAATAAGCTCAAAGAATACATAAATTCATAATTAAAAATTCATATTCATAAATAGTGACATTGTGAAAAAGCTTAATGCAAATGCTGAGAAATAAAAAATTATATATATATATATATTTGTGTGTTACTGGCCAAACCTAATTTTAGGCCAAACTAGTTTGTCCTATGCATGTCAGGATATACTAGTTTAGCCTATGATAATCTAGTTTGGCCTAAATACTTTAGACTTAAATCAGTTCGGCCTAGGTCAAACTAGTTATGTACTACAAATAGGTGCCAGTGTAAAAAAAAATTATTTTGTGTAATTCGAAATGCCACCACAGTACACCCGGTGGTTAAAGTGTACCTAGGTAACCCCAATGGCAGTGCTTTGGATAGGTTGGTTTGGTTAGGTTAACTACATTTTTAGTAGAAGTTTCCTTTTTTTTTCTTTTGTTCAAGAACTACCTTGAATCAATAACTAGTGATGTTAAACAATGGGCGGCCTGCTGGCGGTTCCCCTTCAAGAGGAGTCCGCTGGGAGCACGAACAGTCCAAAGTGCCGCCATTGGGTTACCTAGGTACACTTTAACCCACCCTGTAAAAATAAATAAAAGATTAAATATTTTGTTTGTGTTTCTTAGTGTAACACAAGTTTATTTTCAATTTTAGTTTGACTTTAAAAGTTATTTTTATTATTTTGTTAGAATTTTTGAAAATATTTTCGAAAGTTAATTACCTTTAAAAGTGCATGGTTTAATAAAAAAAAAAAAAATACAAAATGATAAGTACTGATTAGCTTATTTTTATTTTATAGTTTTGTACAAGTGTTGTGTCACTTCTAATCAATACTGTTTTTTATAATTAAGTAGACTATGTTTGAATAAATATTGTTCATCTAATTGATTGCCTTTTAATTTTATTTTAACCATTAATATGCTTAAATCAGGCCTGGCCAACCCATGGCCTGTCACATTAAATTGTGTGGCCTGCAAAGCGATATTATATATCTATTAAAACTTTTGTTTTCCGTTTTGTGTATACCAAAACAATTAAATAAATGAAAATTTGCTTGTGTCATTATTATAATGCTCAAGTGCGAGTACAAACTCTTTGTATAACAATGAAATCTTATTCATTTCGTATTTGTTTTACTTTTTTAAAAGCATGTTTGCCTAAATTGTGGCCCATTGTAATGTTACGTGTGATCAAAGTGGCCCGCGAAACAATTTGGGTTGGCCAGACCTGACTTAAATAATTCTAAATCAGTTTGGCCTAGGACAAACTAGTTAAGCCTAAAGTATTTAGGCCAAACTAGATTATCCTAGGCTATACCCTGCATGCATAGGATAAACTAGTTTGGCCTGAAATCGGGTTTGGTCAGTAACATATATATTATTATTAGAAAGATTGGTGACAAAACTTTAGCACTTTTAAGCATTCATTCAACTTTCATTCTCTAGTACATGTGTCACCAAACTACAGCCTGCAAGGTTAGTTCATCCTGCCCCCACACTATGCCACAAATGAGCTAAAATATAATTATTTATATGAAAATACTAGCTGTTACCAGTGGCTTTGCCCGTGCGGATTTTGCAAGCAAACCTGCATATTCATTTATATTCAGTATATCATTATTTATATTCATTATATCAACAACCATAGTAATTGTTATATAACACCTACTGCTGAGAATGATGAGAATTGCTGAGAATCAAACAAACTATTTTCAATTTGATCAATTTTCTGGAATGTTTACAATCGTTTTATAATCGAACAAATATGCAATAATAAATTCGAGTTTAAAATGGTTCGAACATTTTTAAAATCGAAATAGATAAAAATATTAATAACAATGTCTGAAATGTTATTAATTTAATACACCTAAGTACTCGATGAAGACTAAATCCTCTCCCTCTCCCCTTGCAGAAGAATTTTGAAAAATCCCTTCTTATTGTGCATTGTCATGGCATACCCTATACTAAAATGCAGATAAAAACAAAAAATTTTATCTAAAATAGTACAGTAGAAGCCGTTTTTCCGGTTAAGCCTTAATCCTCTCCCTCTTACCCCCGCGGAGGAATTTCGAAAAATCCCTTCTTAGTGTGCGTTTCCATGACGTACCCTAACTGTCTACCAAACTTTACCTTTTTAGGTTAAGCGGTTTGCTCTGGGCGATGATGAATCAGTGAGTGAATGAGTGAGTCAGTCAGGACAAGCAATTTTATATATTTAGATAATAGATTGTAGATGAACTTACTATGTAGAAAAAATTAAAACAAGTGCAAGTAAAAATGGCAAAATTGGTCCAATTTCTTTACTCATTCTGTTTTTAATTTTATAATATTCCATTTGGAATATGTTTTGTTTTATGTGTAATGGTATATTGGAACTATATTTTATAGTTTTTCTTATTGAACCAGGTTTTTTATACGTTCTAAATTCTAATTCATTTTTTATCCTCTTTATTGTAATATCTAAATAATTTAATTCATTTTTGGTTTATCTTCTTCTTCTATTTTAAATTTTATTGCTTCATTTATTCTATTTAATTTTCTTAGTTATTTTTTCAATTTCTGTTTCATTGTATATAATTAGAATATTATTCACATATCTTTTGTAGACTTTTAACCCTTGTATCCCATTGATTCTTTCATCTATATCTTCACCAGTTTTGGCCCTATAACGGACCCCATACTTATTATACCTTCTGTCTGTGTGTAATTTTTATCTTCTATTTCAAAGTAGTAACTTCTGCAGAAATATTCTATCAAATCTATTATGTCAGTAATTTTTTATAGTTTATTTTCGTTCATTTCCCATGTTATTGATGGGTACATATCCACTATGTCAAGAGTAGCCATTTTAAATGTTACTTCAATGTTAACTTTTTTCAGTTCTTCTATAAGTTTATCTGTATTCTTGATTGCAAAGTTTGAATTTTGTTATTGTTGGAGTTCTTTGTTTTAGAAATTTTTATAGATTGTATAATGTAGTTAGACCAGTGATGGACTATTTAAAGTCCATCTATTATTTAAAGTCTAACTTTTTCATCAATTTTGTGAGTTTTGTAACTTATAATTTGTAGTTTATTGTCAAAGTTGTAAAGCAAAAGAGGTTAATTAAATGATTTACTCAATTAGTCTAGTCTTTATAATAAATTCATGTATAATTTATTTTAAAAGATATTTTAATTGCAAATTAAGTTTTTTATTTTGTTTAATTGTTAAATCTTTTTTTTCACACATGATAATTCCAAAAACTTTCATAATATGTTGATTATCGTCAATAAAATATGACAATAATCAACATATATAATCTGATCTTTAAAAACAATTTTTAAACTAAATAATTTTGGATCATAAAGTAACAATAAAAGTGAAATACAATTTCTTTTACAATAAATTCTGGTAAAGCTGTAGCAGTGGTATTCAATATTGAAATATAGTAAGAAAAAAGTTTTGATATGTTTACTTAATAAGTATTATAGTAATTTGATGGATACAATTTTATATTTTTTTTATAGGTGTAATAGTAGCATTTGTTTTAACTCTTAGCAGTTACTGTTTTTTGGCAAGTTTATTAGCATTTTTTGTACTGTCTTCAAAAGCAACTAAATACAAAGCAGAGAAGAAAAAGAAATTTGATTCTGAATATAAAGAAGGTAAGTTTATAAAACAAAACTACATAATAATTTTAAACAATTTTTATGACTTTGGATTTGGTATACTTAATGTGTTTCACAGATTATATATTTTCATAGGTGGCCAGAGGAATTGGGTACAAGTGATAAGTAATGGAGGTGTTGCAACAGAATTTGCAGTTCTATATTTGATAGAAAATGGAATTGGTGAAATCCCTATTGATTTCCGTAATAACTATGGTGTGTCTTGTTTTGCAATTGCTGTACTAGCTGCAATTGCAGGAGCAAGTGGTGATACTTGGGCATCTGAGATTGGTTCAGTTCTTTCACAAAAAGATCCTATTCTAATCACAACTTTGAGGAGGGTTCCAAGAGGTAACAAGGATTTGTTTCTAAAGTTTTATGTTACATTTTATATTGCTGAATGACTGCACAATTTTTATTATTTACATAGGAACTAATGGAGGAGTTTCATTAATTGGATTTCTTGCAAGCATTTTAGGAGGTGCCATTGTTGGAATTGCTTACTATGTTTGTCTTCTGCTGTGCTTGAGTAGTAAAGTGTTGGCAGAGAGCTCACCACAATGGCCTTTAATTTTGACAGCTACATTTTCAGGATTCTTCAGTTCATTAATTGATTCCATTTTAGGAGCAACAGTTCAGTATTCAGGTAAGAACTTTCTTGCTAATAAGCTCAATGTAAATCAATTATCTGATTATAAAGTTAGTTATTTAAAACTCCTAATAATCAATTATTATGTAATTATCCAGGAATAAATGTGAAAACAGGAAAAATTGTTGAGAAGGCAGGACCGAATGTAAAACACATCAGTGGGATTTCTTTACTTGACAATCATTCAGTTAATTTAGTATCTTCTATATTAACTGCACTTCTTGTTCCGAGACTGACTATGCCTCTCTGGACATATTTTTAAAGAGTTCTGACTTTGCATTTTGAGACAACGAAATTCAATCATATTGTTTTCAATATATCAAAAGTGATTGTTTATAGTTTGAGAATTAATAATTCCACCCATCTCTACAATTGTTCTGAAAATATATTTTTGCTTACATCTTTTAAGGTTGACTCGTGATGCATTTGCTGTCATGATTTTTTCAATATAAATTATTAAATTCATGTAATTGTACTTTTATACTGAAATATTTAAATATTAACAATTTAATTGTTGAAATTATTAACATCTATAAAATGTATATTTTCTTTTTTTTTTTTTTTTTTTTTTTTTTTTTTTTTTTTTTTTTTTTTTTTTTTTTTTTTTTTTTTTTTTTTTTTTTTTTTTTTTTTTTTTTTTTTTTTTTTTTTTTTTTTTTTTTTTTTTTTTTTTTTTTTTTTTTTTTTTTTTTTTTTTTTTTTTTTTTTTTTTTTTTTTTTTTTTTTTTTTTTTTTTTTTTTTTTTTTTTTTTTTTTTTTTTTTTTTTTTTTTTTTTTTTTTTTTTTTTTTTTTTTTTTTTTTTTTTTTTTTTTTTTTTTTTTTTTTTTTTTTTTTTTTTTTTTTTTTTTTTTTTTTTTTTTTTTTTTTTTTTTTTTTTTTTTTTTTTTTTTTTTTTTTTTTTTTTTTTTTTTTTTTTTTTTTTTTTTTTTTTTTTTTTTTTTTTTTTTTTTTTTTTTTTTTTTTTTTTTTTTTTTTTTTTTTTTTTTTTTTTTTTTTTTTTTTTTTTTTTTTTTTTTTTTTTTTTTTTTTTTTTTTTTTTTTTTTTTTTTTTTTTTTTTTTTTTTTTTTTTTTTTTTTTTTTTTTTTTTTTTTTTTTTTTTTTTTTTTTTTTTTTTTTTTTTTTTTTTTTTTTTTTTTTTTTTTTTTTTTTTTTTTTTTTTTTTTTTTTTTTTTTTTTTTTTTTTTTTTTTTTTTTTTTTTTTTTTTTTTTTTTTTTTTTTTTTTTTTTTTTTTTTTTTTTTTTTTTTTTTTTTTTTTTTTTTTTTTTTTTTTTTTTTTTTTTTTTTTTTTTTTTTTTTTTTTTTTTTTTTTTTTTTTTTTTTTTTTTTTTTTTTTTTTTTTTTTTTTTTTTTTTTTTTTTTTTTTTTTTTTTTTTTTTTTTTTTTTTTTTTTTTTTTTTTTTTTTTTTTTTTTTTTTTTTTTTTTTTTTTTTTTTTTTTTTTTTTTTTTTTTTTTTTTTTTTTTTTTTTTTTTTTTTTTTTTTTTTTTTTTTTTTTTTTTTTTTTTTTTTTTTTTTTTTTTTTTTTTTTTTTTTTTTTTTTTTTTTTTTTTTTTTTTTTTTTTTTTTTTTTTTTTTTTTTTTTTTTTTTTTTTTTTTTTTTTTTTTTTTTTTTTTTTTTTTTTTTTTTTTTTTTTTTTTTTTTTTTTTTTTTTTTTTTTTTTTTTTTTTTTTTTTTTTTTTTTTTTTTTTTTTTTTTTTTTTTTTTTTTTTTTTTTTTTTTTTTTTTTTTTTTTTTTTTTTTTTTTTTTTTTTTTTTTTTTTTTTTTTTTTTTTTTTTTTTTTTTTTTTTTTTTTTTTTTTTTTTTTTTTTTTTTTTTTTTTTTTTTTTTTTTTTTTTTTTTTTTTTTTTTTTTTTTTTTTTTTTTTTTTTTTTTTTTTTTTTTTTTTTTTTTTTTTTTTTTTTTTTTTTTTTTTTTTTTTTTTTTTTTTTTTTTTTTTTTTTTTTTTTTTTTTTTTTTTTTTTTTTTTTTTTTTTTTTTTTTTTTTTTTTTTTTTTTTTTTTTTTTTTTTTTTTTTTTTTTTTTTTTTTTTTTTTTTTTTTTTTTTTTTTTTTTTTTTTTTTTTTTTTTTTTTTTTTTTTTTTTTTTTTTTTTTTTTTTTTTTTTTTTTTTTTTTTTTTTTTTTTTTTTTTTTTTTTTTTTTTTTTTTTTTTTTTTTTTTTTTTTTTTTTTTTTTTTTTTTTTTTTTTTTTTTTTTTTTTTTTTTTTTTTTTTTTTTTTTTTTTTTTTTTTTTTTTTTTTTTTTTTTTTTTTTTTTTTTTTTTTTTTTTTTTTTTTTTTTTTTTTTTTTTTTTTTTTTTTTTTTTTTTTTTTTTTTTTTTTTTTTTTTTTTTTTTTTTTTTTTTTTTTTTTTTTTTTTTTTTTTTTTTTTTTTTTTTTTTTTTTTTTTTTTTTTTTTTTTTTTTTTTTTTTTTTTTTTTTTTTTTTTTTTTTTTTTTTTTTTTTTTTTTTTTTTTTTTTTTTTTTTTTTTTTTTTTTTTTTTTTTTTTTTTTTTTTTTTTTTTTTTTTTTTTTTTTTTTTTTTTTTTTTTTTTTTTTTTTTTTTTTTTTTTTTTTTTTTTTTTTTTTTTTTTTTTTTTTTTTTTTTTTTTTTTTTTTTTTTTTTTTTTTTTTTTTTTTTTTTTTTTTTTTTTTTTTTTTTTTTTTTTTTTTTTTTTTTTTTTTTTTTTTTTTTTTTTTTTTTTTTTTTTTTTTTTTTTTTTTTTTTTTTTTTTTTTTTTTTTTTTTTTTTTTTTTTTTTTTTTTTTTTTTTTTTTTTTTTTTTTTTTTTTTTTTTTTTTTTTTTTTTTTTTTTTTTTTTTTTTTTTTTTTTTTTTTTTTTTTTTTTTTTTTTTTTTTTTTTTTTTTTTTTTTTTTTTTTTTTTTTTTTTTTTTTTTTTTTTTTTTTTTTTTTTTTTTTTTTTTTTTTTTTTTTTTTTTTTTTTTTTTTTTTTTTTTTTTTTTTTTTTTTTTTTTTTTTTTTTTTTTTTTTTTTTTTTTTTTTTTTTTTTTTTTTTTTTTTTTTTTTTTTTTTTTTTTTTTTTTTTTTTTTTTTTTTTTTTTTTTTTTTTTTTTTTTTTTTTTTTTTTTTTTTTTTTTTTTTTTTTTTTTTTTTTTTTTTTTTTTTTTTTTTTTTTTTTTTTTTTTTTTTTTTTTTTTTTTTTTTTTTTTTTTTTTTTTTTTTTTTTTTTTTTTTTTTTTTTTTTTTTTTTTTTTTTTTTTTTTTTTTTTTTTTTTTTTTTTTTTTTTTTTTTTTTTTTTTTTTTTTTTTTTTTTTTTTTTTTTTTTTTTTTTTTTTTTTTTTTTTTTTTTTTTTTTTTTTTTTTTTTTTTTTTTTTTTTTTTTTTTTTTTTTTTTTTTTTTTTTTTTTTTTTTTTTTTTTTTTTTTTTTTTTTTTTTTTTTTTTTTTTTTTTTTTTTTTTTTTTTTTTTTTTTTTTTTTTTTTTTTTTTTTTTTTTTTTTTTTTTTTTTTTTTTTTTTTTTTTTTTTTTTTTTTTTTTTTTTTTTTTTTTTTTTTTTTTTTTTTTTTTTTTTTTTTTTTTTTTTTTTTTTTTTTTTTTTTTTTTTTTTTTTTTTTTTTTTTTTTTTTTTTTTTTTTTTTTTTTTTTTTTTTTTTTTTTTTTTTTTTTTTTTTTTTTTTTTTTTTTTTTTTTTTTTTTTTTTTTTTTTTTTTTTTTTTTTTTTTTTTTTTTTTTTTTTTTTTTTTTTTTTTTTTTTTTTTTTTTTTTTTTTTTTTTTTTTTTTTTTTTTTTTTTTTTTNTGTACGTGTGCTGATCTTTGTAATTATAAATTGTGAATACATGTGACTAATATTATTTTCTTTTTTATTTTGTGCATGTTACAAGTTATAAATAAATATAAACAAACAACACTAACTCGATAACATTAAATCTAAATACCAAAATGATTAATTTACTGTGTTTTTGTTATTTATTTATCCTGTTTTTAAGTATTCGGTATTCGGCCGAATAGTGATTAAATATTCGGTATTCGGCCGAATAGTGAAAAATAGGCCGAATACCGAATAGTAACCGAATATTCGTTACATCACTAGTAATAACTAATGATTAAGAATCTTAGTGAAGTACCGAGGGAGGGTTATTTCTATCAAATTGCAAAATCTGCACGGGCAAAGCCGCGGGTAACAGCTAGTTTTAAATATGTTGATAGTGATATTACTTTTTGCTAGTGGTTGTAATTCATATCTTAAGAAATTGTCATTCAAAATTGAACAATTTTAGTGCATTGATAACAACTTAAATAAAAATTGCTATTCATGATATTATTAATAATAATAATAAAATCAAAGTGTTGCCTAAATTTGTATTGTAATGAGAATTATTAAACAGTAATGCAGTTTTCAGAGTTAATGAAGTATCTTCTAGATACTACTAAAATAACATTTTCAATTAATTTTTTCCAATAAATAGAATACAGTAATTAACTTTCTAATTGGGTAATAGCAGCTTGAGAGTAAGTGAACTACTGGTAAAGTTAGACTGTATGTAATTTTTGGCTTATTTTTGGGACGACTGGGAAGTTTTCTCTGGGCCCGGGAAAAAGTTAGGTGTGGATAGTAGTTCCTACCCTTATAAAATTAATGTTATTTTTACTAATAGAAAATAAAATTTTTAAGATTGCTTTTTATTAATAAAGAAGCATTCCTCTTACTTGTATTTCATTAGAGCAAAAATATGAAAAAAGGGTCCATTCAAGCAGGGCATGGGCCCTGGGATATATTTATCTTAATATTTAAATGGGAGTGTTAGCGAAGCTTCTATGAGATTTACAGAATTGTTTGTTCTCAAAATCCGTTTGATAGATTTTGATTAAACTTTGCCATTTTCCATTAATAATTGCGATGCGGAATCCAAAAATGCAGTAAAAATGGAGGTCCACGATCTTAGTTTTCGAGATGTGCGCGCTTATGAAACAACCTTATAAGTTATAACAAAGCGATATCGTAAGATACACAAGTCCATACAGAATTATTACTTGCAGATATGGTTTGTAATGGCTCTTCATTTGTCATAAGGACGTGTTTTGCGACAATTTATTAATAAAATTTCACCTACTTTACCACTTAAGAGTCTTGATTTTTATAATTATTTTTTAAGCATTTCTTGATAATCATAGACTTTACTTTTAATAAGACATTCAAATATAGCTGGATATTCCAAAGGTGGCATTCTCTCAATTCATTATTCACGATTTTATAGTATATTGTGGTTGTCTTTGTATTCGCAAGTAATGCGGTCATAGATAAAACAAACTACAACGCCATGGTAACTGAAAGAGAGAGTTTTATTTCTCAAGCTAATGACGAATACTTTCTTCTCCTTGACACACACACTGACTAGTCGCATCATTTGCACTTTTCTTGATATTGACCATTGTTTTCCGACTGATAAGTAACAGGGTGTGATGACCTGAAGCGTTGCAGATGCAAACGCCACAAGTACTAATTGATGAAAATAAATTAAAAAGTACAAGTTTGTAGAAGAAACTATACAAAAATCCGAAAATTTTGCATTAGACTTAATTC